TCCATTAAGAGCAGGCAAAAAATATATATGTATAAGCGGAACCTACTTAAAAACTCATCAGAAAACTAAAGTACATCATACTCTAGTACATATTTATTTATGGGTTTTAATTTGATCCTTAACAAAAAATTCCTAGAATCCTTAAACCAAGTTACATGTATGTTTGTGTGAGTGTGTGAGTAAAACAATAGTTGTATGCTGCTGATTTATTGAAATGTGAATGGTTATTTGAAATGTAATAAAGAAGGACAACTAAAAGCATTAGAAAACCAACACATCATCATACGCTAACACTAATGCTACTGCTTCTTCTTAGTCTTTCACTTCGTTGCCACAATCATCATGTTCCTCTTAGTTTGACAGTTGTTACAATAACATTTGACAGTTCTATATGTGGTGTGACATGCGCATTGAATAATTGATACATTTGAAAAATACAAAAAAACTGCAAAAAGAAGAAGCAAATCATCAACAACAACAACACATAAATGAATTACCAAGAAATTCCTTTAATAAGGATGTTATTTAGCAGTATCCTTTTGCGTTTTTTTAGAATTTTAATATTTTTATAAAGAATTTTTGTTTATTTATTACGAAATTAAGAAAAGTTTTAAAATACTTGTCATTCATATAAACAGTTTTAGTATTTGGCCAACAAGGATCAATGACCACTACCCATTATTGTTTAAAGTGAAACTTTTTTTGTGTATTTAAAAAAGGATTTACAGTTTTAGGTGAAGCATCGTTAGTTGTTTAAGGCTTTTAGTTTTTCAGTTGTAGTTCAGTTCTAGTTCAGTCCTACTTCAGTTCTAGTTCTGTACTAGTTCTGTACTAGTTCTGTTCTAGTTCTGTTCTAGTTCTGTTATAGTTCTGTAATAGTTCTGTTCTAGTTCTGTTCTAGTTCAGTTCTAGTTCAGTTCTAATTCAGTTCTAGTTCAGTTCTAGTTCAGTTCTAGTTCTAGTTCAGTTCTAGTTCAGTTCAGTTCTAGTTCAGTTCTAGTTCAGTTCTAGTTCAGTTCTAGTTCAGTTTTAGTTCAGTTCTAGTTCAGTTCTAGTTCAGTTCTAGTTCAGTTCTAGTTAAGTTCTTGTTCAGTTCTAGTTCAGTTCTAGTTCAGTTCTAGTTCAGTTCTAGTTCAGTTCTAGTTCAGTTCTAGTTCAGTTCTAGTTCAGTTCTATTTCAGTTCTAGTTCAGTTCTAGTTCAGTTCTAGTTCAGTTCTAGTTCAGTTCTAGTTTAGTTCTAGTTCAGTTCTAGTTCAGTTCTAGTTCAGTTCTAGTTCAGTTCTAGTTCACTTCTAATAAGTTCTAGTTCTGTTCTAGTTCTGTTTTAGTTATGTTCTAGTTCTGTTCTAGTTCTATTCTAGTTCTGTTCTAGTTCTGTTCTAGTTCTGTTCTAGTTCTGTTCTAGTTCTGTTCTAGTTCTGTTCTAGTTCTGTTCTAGTTCTGTTCTAGTTCTGTTCTAGTTCTGTTCTAGTTCTGTTCTAGTTCTGTTCTAGTTCTGTTCTAGTTCTGTTCTAGTTCTGTTCTAGTTCTGTTCTAGTTCTGTTCTAGTTCTGTTCTAGTTCTGTTCTAGTTCTGTTCTAGTTCTGTTCTAGTTCTGTTCTAGTTCTGTTCTAGTTCTGTTCTAGTTCTGTTCTAGTTCTGTTCTAGTTCTGTTCTAGTTCTGTTCTGGTTCTGTTCTAGTTGTGTTCTAGTTCTGTTCTAGTTCTGTTCTAGTTCTGTTCTAGTTCTGTTCTAGTTCTGTTCTAGTTCTGTTCTAGTTCTGTTCTAATTCTGTTCTAGTTCTGTTCTAGTTCTGTTCTAGTTCTGTTCTAGTTCTGTTCTAGTTCTGTTCTAGTTCTGTTCTAGTTCTGTTCTAGTTCTGTTCTAGTTCTGTTCTAGTTCTGTTCTAGTTCTGTTCTAGTTCTGTTCTAGTTCTGTTCTAATTCTGTTCTAGTTCTGTTCTAGTTCTGTTCTAGTTCTGTTCTAGTTCTGTTCTACTTCTGTTCTATTTCTGTTCTAGTTCTGTTCTAGTTCTGTTCTAGTTTTGTTCTAGTTCTGTTTGAGTTCTGTTCCAGATCAGTCCTGGCTCAGTTCTGTTTCAGTTCCAAAGTAAAATAGCTCTTTCTGCAAGTCTCTAATACCAGCATTAATTCTCATCAATTGGTGCTACTCTCCAGTCAGTCACATGGACATGAATCATACAAAAATACATTTTACAGTTTCCTTGTTTCAATAAAACGACTATAATGAATTGTATTGTTGTACAGCAACAACATCAGCAAATAACTACATCAAAACAACAACAACATATGTAGCGTATTGTTAAAGCACTAGCTTTTGGCTCTCGCGCACTTTAGCACAAACAAAAACAAATGCTACAAGAATGAAAAAAACAACAAAATCACCCAGTACACACCCTTTTAAACAGGGGTGGTGGGTAAACACATACATATACACATAAACACTCATTCACACACTCCGACATACACGCATTAAAACAAACCCAAAACGCAAATTTATATACAGAAGAAGAGCAAAAAAAAAGTAAAACGAGAGAAAAGTATGAAAATTAAGGAAAAATCAATAAATATAACGAGATTTTTAAGGAAAATTTTAGAGAATTATAAAGAAAATTTTATTTTCATTAAAGAATTGTAAAAAATTTCAAAAGAAATTGCTTTAATTATAGGATAATTAGAAAAAAAGGATTTACCCATACAGGGACAGATAAGGAAATAATGACAATTGTTAGAAAAAAACAATACAAAGTAATGAACAACAACAATAGCAAAATAATAGTTTAATAGAGAAAAAAAACTAACGAAAAACACCACCCTAAAATTGAGATGTTGTTTTTGAATGAAATTTTTATGCATATGAAATTTCGTATGCATGCTCAAAAAAGGGAGTAGAAATGGTACTTTTTATAAGGATTTTATGAGTATTGAAAGTACTTAAGAGGTGAAAACTAAGGATTTAGTTCAGTTCTAGTTCAACTCCATTTCAATTCTTGTTCAGTTCTAGCTCCAGTTTAGTTCCAGCTAAGTTCTAGTTCATTGATCATTTCGTTTTCAATTCTAGTTTCGTGCTTGTTCATTTCTAGTTTACTTTTTGTTCATTTCCAGTTCAGTCCCAGCTAAGTTCTAGTTCACTGATCATTTCTTTTTCAATTCTACTTTAGTTCTAGTTCAGTTCTAGTTCATTTCTAGTTCAGTTCTAGTTCAGTTCTAGTTTAGTTCTAGTTCAGTTCTAGTTCAGTTCTAGTTCAGTTCTAGTTCAGTTCTAGTTCAGTTCTAGTTCAGTTCTATTTCAGTTTTATTTCAGTTCTAGTTCAGTTCCAGTTCAGTTCTCGTTCAGTTCTAGTTCAGTTCCAGTTCTGTTGTAGTGCAGCTCTAGTTCAGTTCTAGTTCAGTTCTAGTTCAGTTCTAGTTCAGTTCTAGTTCAGTTCTAGTTCAGTTCTAGTTCAGTTCTAATTCAGTTCTAGTTCAATTCTAGTTCAGTTCTAGTTCAGTTCTAGTTCAGTTCTAGTTCAGTTCTAGTTCAGTTCTAGTTCAGTTCTAGTTCAGTTCTAGTTCAGTTCTAGTTCAGTTCTAGTTCAGTTCTAGTTCAGTTCTAGTTCAGTTCTAGTTCAGTTCTAGTTCAGTTCTAGTTCGGTTCTAGTTCAGTTCTAGTTCAGTTCTAGTTCAGTTCTAGTTCAGTTCTAGTTAAGTTCTAGTTCAGTTCCATTTCCGTTCTAGTTCAGTTCTAATTCGGTTCTAGTTCGGTTCTAGTTCAGTTCTTGTTCAGTTCTATCTCAGTTCTAGTTCAGTTCTAGTTCAGTTCTAGTTCAGTTCTAGTTCAGTTCTAGTTCAGTTCTAGTTCAGTTCTAGTTCAGTTCTAGTTCAGTTCTAGTTCTAGTTCAGTTCTAGTTCAGTTCTAGTTCAGTTCTAGTTCAGTTCTAGTTCAGTTCTAGTTCAGTTCTAGTTCAGTTCTAGTTCAGTTCTAGTTCAGTTCTAGTTCAGTTCTAGTTCAGTTCTAGTTCAGTTCTAGTTCAGTTCTAGTTCAGTTCTAGTTCAGTTCTAGTTCAGTTCTAGTTCAGTTCTAGTTCAGTTCTAGTTCAGTTCTAGTTCAGTTCTAGTTCAGTTCTAGTTCAGTTCTAGTTCAGTTCTAGTTCAGTTCTAGTTCAGTTCTAGTTCAGTTCTAGTTCAGTTCTAGTTCAGTTCTAGTTCAGTTCTAGTTCAGTTCAGTTCTAGTTCAGTTCTAGTTGAGTTCTAGTTCAGTTCTAGTTCAGTTCTAGTTCAGTTCTAGTTCAGTTCTAGTTCAGTTCTAGTTCAGTTATAGTTCAGTTCTAGTTCAGTTCCAATTCAGTTCTAGTTCAGTTCTAGTTCGGTTCTAGTTCGGTTCTAATTGAGTTCGAGTTCAGTTCTACTTTAGTTCTTGTTTAGTTCAGTACTTGTTCGGTTCTAGTTTAGATTTTGTTTAGTTCAGTTCTAGTTGAGTTCTTTCTTAGATCTAGTTCGGTTTCAATTCAGTTCTTGTTTAGTTCTAGAATTTCCAATTGTAAATTTTTAAATTTAATTTTTTAATTTATATGTAATTCTATCAAATTCCATACAAAATCTCACTTAAAAGTACTTTTTTCTGCAAAAATGATACTAAATCCACAATAATTCATCCCTGCCACCCTTAAATGAAGTTTAGTTACACAAAAAGCAATAACAACACGAGCTATTGCTCGCAAGAAGAAGCATCAGAAGATGTAAAAAAGGAATGAGAAAAAAGTACAACAAAGATACAATGATGAATTTTTTAACTGTCTGGCTTACCTTTTTTTGCTAAATTTGTTGCTGAAAACTTTAATAAATTTAAAATTTTCTTTAAATATTTTTATATTTATAAATTTATTAACACTCAAACAAAACACATAAAATTTTGCAAAAATATTAAGAAAAACTGCCACTAATCCTGGGGGGTGGCTAGATTTTTCTTTAAAATTTTTGCAAAATTTAATTTAAATAAAACCTTTTTTAATAATTTTTACTTCTTTTATTAACTAAAGTCTGCTTTTAGCTGCAGCTTTAGGTTTTTTTAATGATTTTTATTTCAAATTGATTGAATTAATTAAAACACTTGTTTTTTTTTTAAGCACCCACGTTTAACCGACCGGTTTTCTTTGGTTTAAATCTGGCAAATTATTATTTCTACACACTTTTGCTTAACGCTTACACTAGTGACGCAGATTCGCTCTCTTTAAAAAGCAAACGTATCGCACAACGTCTAAACGATGACTGTCGACTAGTGTTTCACTAAATCTTTAGCAGACCTAAAGTTACCCCTTATGTGGTTATTGTTGTGCACGAAGGGGATTAATGGGAAATTTTGGGCATTCTTGTAAGTTTTATTTTGATTACCGTAATTTAGCGTTGGTTTTATTTTGTTTATAGTTATTTTTAGTGGTGGCTGTTAAACATTTAGTAGCCGGGAAGTAAGCACCTGTTGCTTGTTTGTGGTGGAGGCAAAAAGGAATTTAAAAGATATTGGAATTAACTAATCTGAAGGTAAGTAATTTACTTTTATGGCTAAAAATCTTGTTTTATATTACAAAAGAGAATGTGAAACAAAATAAATGTTTTAGAAGAACTGAATTAAAACTCAGATAAAACTCAACCAGAACAGTACTAAAACTAAACTAGAACTGAAATAGAACTCAATTAAAGCTAAACTAGAACTGCACTAAAAATTAACTAAAACTGAACTAGAACGGAACATGAGGTGAACTGGTACTTCAATAGAAGTGAACTAGAACTACACTGGAACCGAACTAGAACTGAACTGCAACCAAACTGGAACTTAACTAGAACTGAACTAGAATTCAACTAGAACAGAACGAGATCTGAACTAGAATTCAACTGAAACTCAACTAGAAATTAATTAGAACTTAAATAAAACTCATGTAGAACTCAACTAGACCCCAACAAGAACTCAAACAGAACTGATTTAGAACTGAATTATAACTCAACTTGAACTCAATTAGAACTCAACTAAAACTGAACTAGAACTTAACTAGAACTGAACTAGAACTGAACTAGAACTGAACTAGAACTGAACTAGAACTGAACTAGAACTGAACTAGAACTGAACTAGAACTGAACTAGAACTGAACTAGAACTGAACTAGAACTGAACTAGAACTGAACTAGAACTGAACTAGAACTGAACTAGAACTGAACTAGAACTGAACTAGAACTGAACTAGAACTGAACTAGAACTGAACTAGAACTGTACTAGAACTGAACTAGAACTGAACTAGAACTGAACTAGAACTGAACTAGAACTGAACTAGAACTAAACTAGAACTGAACTAGAACTAGAACTAAACTAGAACTGAACTAGAACTGAACTAGATCTGTACTAGAACTGAACTAGAACTGAACTAGAACTGAACTAGAACTGAACTAGAACTGAACTAGAACTGAACTAGAACTGAACTAGAACTGAACTAGAACTGAACTAGAACTGAACTAGAACTGAACTAGAACTGAACTAGAACTGAACTAGAACTGAACTAGAAATTAACTAGAACTGAACTAGAACTGAACTAAAACAGAACTAGAACTGAACTTGAACTGAACTAGAACTAAACTAGAACTGAACTAGAACTGAACTAGAACTGTACTATAACTGAACTAGACCTGAAATAGAACTGAACTAGAACTGAATTAGAACTGAACTAGACCTGAAATAGAACTGAACTAGAACTGAATTAGAACTGAACTAGAACTGAACTAGAACTGAACTGAACTAGAACTGAACTAGAACTGAACTAGAACAGAACTAGAACTGAACTGAACTAGAACTGAACTGAACTAGAACTGAACTAGAACTGATCTAAAACTAAACTAGAACTGAACTAGAACTGAACTAGAACTAAACTAGAACTGAACTAGAACTGAACTAGAACTGAACTAGAACTGAACTAGATCTGTACTAGAACTGAACTAGAACTGAACTAGAACTGAACTAGAACTGAACTAAAACAGAACTAGAACTGAACTAGAACTAAACTAGAACTGAACTAGAACTGAACTAGAACTGAACTAGAACTGTACTAGAACTGAACTAGAACTGAACTAGAACTGAACTAAAACAGAACTAGAACTGAACTAGAACTAAACTAGAACTGAACTAGAACTGAACTAGAACTGAACTAGAACTGAACTAGAACTGTACTATAACTGAACTAGACCTGAAATAGAACTGAACTAGAACTGAATTAGAACTGAACTAGACCTGAAATAGAACTGAACTAGAACTGAACTAGAACTGAACTAGAACTGAACTAGAACTGAACTAGAACTGAACTAGAACTGAACTAGAACTGAACTAGAACTGAACTAGAACTGACCTAGAACTTAACTAGAACTGAACTAGAACAGAACTAGAACTGAACTGAACTAGAATTGAACTTGAACTAGAACTGAATTAGAAATTCATTTGAACTAAAATGGAACTGAACTAGAACTCAACTGAAACTGAATTACAACTGAACTAGAACTCAATTAAAACTCAACTAGAACCAACTAGATCCCAACCAAAACTGATTTATAACTGAAATAGAACCCAACTAGAACTGAACTAGAATTCAACTAAAACTAAACCAGAGCTGAACTGGAACCGAACTAGAAGTAAACTAGAAAGGAACGCAACTAAAACTCAACTAGAAATGAATTAGAAGTGGAACTGCATTAGAACTGAACTGAAACTTCATTAGAACCGAACTAGAATTTTACTAAATTCAACTAGACCTCAATTAGTACTGAACCAAAACTAATTTAGAACTGAACTGGAACTGAACTGGAACCAAACTAGAACAGAAAGTGACTTTATAAAAAGGCTAAGCATACATTGAGGGCGGCACTGTCTACGCGAGTTCAATAGACATTAAACCTCTATTATGTCAAAACCACTCAATGAAGATGGATGGATCTTCATGGTCCTGACAAATATTTTTCCTAAACTCTACTAAAACTCCAATTGTTTATTGCTTAAATATGTATTTTTTTATTTAATATATTGATATATTTTTTTGATTTCTCTATAACATTGATTATATAAAATTGTATTTATTCATTATTTATGTATGTATGATTTTGTAAGAGGATTTCGAAAACTTATTTTTAGCACAAAGATTATACTTAATTTAAGGAGAAAATAAAATCAAAAAATTGAATTTTGAATAAATCAAAAAACATAATTAGTAGCAATTAATATAAAGATTTAGTATTTTTTTTTTCTCAACTTTCGGTTATTTATTCTGACTTAAAATGCCAAATTGAATTCGGAAAACTATCGCGAAATTTTCAGAAAATTTCTTTCCATAACAAGTAATGATACTATACATTCTGGACTGAACTAGATCTAAACCGGAACTAACCTAAAACTCAACTAGAATTGAACTAGAACTGAACTAGAACCGAACTAGCGCTGAACTAGAACTGAACTAGAACTGAACTAGAACAGAACTAGAACTGAACTAGAACTGAACTAGAACTGAACTAGAACAGAACTAGAACTGAACTAGAACTGAACTAGAACTGAACTAGAACTGAACTAGAACTAAACTATAACTGAACTAGAACTGAACTAGAACTGAACTAGCACTCAACTAGAACTTAACTAGAACTGAACTAGAACTGAACTAGAACTGAACTAGAACTGAACTAGAACTGAACTAGAACTGAACTAGAACTGAACTAGAACTGAACTAGAACTGAACTAGAACTGAACTAGAACTGAACTAGAACTGAACTAGAACTGAACTGGAACTGAACTAGAACTGAACTAGAACTGAACTAGAACTGAACTAGAACTGAACTAGAACTGAACTAGAACTGAACTAGAACTGAACTAGAACTGAACTAGACTACTAGAACTGAACTAGAACTGAACTAGAACTGAAGTCGAACTGAACTAGAACATAACTAGAACTGAACTAGAATTGAACTAGAACTGAACTAGAACCGAACTAGAACTGATCTAGAGCTGAACAAGAATTGAACTAGAACTGAACTAGATCTGAACTAGAACTGAACTAAAACTGAACTAGAACTGAACTAGCACTAAACTAGAATTGAAAAAGAAATGATCAATGAACTAAAACTTAACTGGGACTGAACTAAAACTGAACTAGAACTGAACTAGAACTGAACTAGAACTGAACTAGAACTGAACTAGAACTGAACTAGAACTGAACTAGAACTGAACTAGAACTGAACTAGAACTGAACTAGAACTGAACTAGAACTGAACTAGAACTGAACTAGAACTGAACTAGAACTGAACTAGAACTGAACTAGAAATGAACTAGAACTGAACTAGAACTGAACTAGAACTGAACTAGAACTGAACTAGAACTGAACTAGAACTGAACAAGAACTGAACTAGAACTGAACTAGAACTGAACTAGAACTGAACTAAAACTGAACTAGAACTGAACTACAACTGAACTACAACTGAACTAGAACTGAACTAGAACTGAACTAGAACTGAACCAGAACTGAACTAGAACTGAATTAAACTAGAACTTGAACTCAACTAGAACTTAATTTGATCTAAACTGAACTAGAACTGTACTAGAACCGGACTAGAACTGAAATAGAACTGAATTAGAAGTGAACTAGAACTGAACTAGAACTGAAATAGAACTGAACTAGAACTGAACTAGAACTGAACTAGAACTGAACTAGAACTGAACTAGAACTGAACTAGAACTGAACTAGAACTGAACTAGAACTGAACTAGAACTGAACTAGAACTGAACTAGAACTGAACTAGAACTGAACTAGAACTGAACTAGAACTGAACTAGAACCGAACTAGAACTGGCCTAGAACTGAACTAGAACTAGCACTGAACTAGAACTGAAGTCGAACTAGAACTGGCCTAGAACTGAACAAGAACTAGAACTGAACTAGAACTGAAGTCGAACAGAACTAGAACTGAACTAGAATTGAACTAGAACTGAACTAGAACCGAACTAGAACTGATCTAGAGCTGAACAAGAATTGAACTAGAACTGAACTAAAACTGAACTAGAACTGAATTAGAACTGAACCAGAACTGAACTAGCACTAAACTAGAATTGAAAAAGAAATGATCAATGAACTAAAACTTAACTGGGACTGAACTAAAACTGAACTAGAACTGAACTAGAACTAGAACTGAACTAGAACTGAACTAGAACTGAACTAGAACTGAACTAGAACTGAACTAGAACTGAACTACAACTGAACTACAACTGAACTACAACTGAACTACAACTGAACTACAACTGAACTAGAACTGAACTAGAACTGAACTATAACTGAACTAGAACTGAACTAGAACTGAACTAGAACTGAACTGGAACTGAACTACAACTGAACTAGAACTGAACTAGAACTGAACTAGAACTGAACTAGAACTGAACTAGAACTGAACTAAAACTGAACTAGAACTCAACTAGTGGCGAACTATTGCTGTTATAACTATTTTAAATTATACTCAACAAATAATGGAAAAATAAAACCAAAAATGATTTAAAAAATGTTATTAATATAATAAAAAAATTAATACAAAATGTTTATTAAAAACACAAACTTAAAATACTTATTACAAACGGAAAAGTGCAATTGTAAAATAAAACACAATACAAAAAATGAGAATTCAATACATTCTTTCTTCACTAAAAAAAAGTAGTAGTTTTAAATAAAAAGATATACGAAAAAGTTAACAAAAAAATACAAATGAGTATTAAACCCAAAGTTAAAAAAATATATAAAATGAGTATTTCATAGTTTGTTTTTTTACAAAAATATTAAGGTTAAAAGAGATCCGAGTGTAAAAAACTTTTATAAATTAAAAAGATTAAGCTGTCAAACAGTAATAGGGCTAAAATGGAAGTTAAGAAGGGAAGATGCTTTAGTGGTTCTTAAATTAATTAAAATTCTTTTATAAAAAGTTATAATGTTGAAGAAAAGTAAAGGGGAAATATATATGTTTGGTTTTTAGTGATTTTTGAAGAATTTAAATTTCAATTTGAAATTATTTCTTATTCAATATTATTCCAACTTTTTTTGAAGCAATTCTTTTCTTTACTTTCTTACTTATATACCTGCTTTTACGGGGCTTTATAATAAAGTTTAAATATTATATTTTTGTTTTAAAATAAATGCCTTTTTTTGTCCTTTGATGAACTGGTTGTTAAAAACCAGCGTTAAATTTTAAATTATTTTTGTTTCTTAAAACTTAATTATTAAGTTATACAAATTAGCTTTAAAACTTAAACTAATAATTTCAGATTTGTCTTAGAATTTAATTACTAAAAAAAACATTTAGTTTAAAAAACATAATACAAAATACCTTAACAATTAAAAGTAATTTAATAGCAACACAATATAAACACACTTAAACAAATTAATAGGAATTTTCAGGAGGAGTAAGTTTTTTTAGCAAAATCAATACAAACATTTTAAATTCTAAAAACCTAAACAAAAAAAATTTACAAAATTTTACCAATATTTTTGTTAAATATATGATTTTTTCTCAGTCTTAATTTCTAATTTAAATTTCTAATACAGAATTATAAATAAAATAGTTTTTTCTAAATATAAATCTTAAAGAGGTGAGACAAAGTTTTAGGGGCCTTGAATATCAAATTGTTTAAAACTTTAAGAGTTTTCCATATTTCTTAACTATTGTTTAGTTTATGACTGGACTGTAGTCTGAACAATACTCTGGACTATAATCTAGTCTATAGTCAGGGCTATAGTCTAGTCTATAGTCAGGGCTATAGTCTAGTCTATAGTCAGGGCTATAGTCTAGTCTATAGTCTAGACTATAATCTAGTCTATAGTCTTGACTATAATCTAGTCTATAATCTGGACTATAATCTAGTCTATAGTCTGGACTATAATCTAGTCTTTAGTCTGGACTATAGTTTAGTCTATAGTCTGACTATAGTCTAGTCTATAGTCTGGACTATAGTCTAATCTAAAGTCTGGACTATAGTCTAGTCTATAGTCTGGACTATAGTCTTATCTATAGTCTGAACTATAGTCTAGTCTATAGTCTGAACTATAGTCTAGTATATAGTCTGGACTATAGTCTAATCTAAAGTCTGGACTATAGTCTAGTCTATAGTCTGGACTATAGTCTTATCTATAGTCTGAACTATAGTCTAGTCTATAGTCTGAACTATAGTCTAGTCTATAGTCTGAACTATAGTCTAGTCTATAGTCTGGACTATAGTCTAGTCTATAATCTGGACTATAGTCTAGTCTATAGTCTGGACTATAGTCTAGTCTATAGTCTGGACTATAGTCTAGTCTATAGTCTGGACTATAGTCTAGTCTATAGTCTGGACTATAGTCTAGTCTAGAGTCTGGACTATAGTCTAGTCTAGAGTCTGGACTATAATCTAGTCTATAGTCTGGACTATAGTCTAGTCTATAGTCTGGACTGTAGTCTAGTCTATAGTCTGGACTATAGTCTAGTTATAGTCTAGACTATAGTCTAGTCTATAGTCTTGACTATAGTCTAGTCTATAGTCTGGACTATAGTCTAGTCTATAGTCTGGACTATAGTCTAGTCTATAGTCTGGACTATAGTCTAGTCTATATTCTGGACTATAGTCAAGTCTATATTCTGGACTATAGTTTAGTCTATAGTCTGGACTATAGTCTAGTCTATAGTCTGGACTATAGTCTAGTCTATAGTCTGGACTATAGTCTAGTCTATAGTCTGGACTATAGTCTAGTCTATAGTCTGGACTATAGTCTAGTCTGTAGTATGGACTATAGTCTAGTCTATGGTCTGGACTATAGTCTAGTCTATAGTCTGGACTATAGTCTAGTTTATAGTCTGGACTATAGTCTAGTTTATAGTCTGGACTATAGTCTAGTCTAGAGTCTGGACTATAGACTAGTCTATAGTACTGACTATAGTCTGGACTATAGTCTAGTCTATAGTATGGATTGTTGTCTAGTCTATAGTCTGGAATATAGTCTACTATAGTCTGGACTATAGTCTAGTCTGTAGTCTAGTCTATAGTCTGGACTATAGTCTAGTCTATAGTCTGGACTATAGTCTAGTCTATAGTCTGGACTATAGTCTAGTCTATAGTCTGGACTATAGTCTAGTCTATAGTCTGGACTATAGTCTAGTCTATAGTCTGGACTATAGTCTAGTCTATAGTCTGGACTATAGTCTAGTATATAGTCTGGACTATAGTTTAGTCTATAGTCTAGTCTATAGTCTGGACTATAGTCTGGACTATAGTCTAGTCTATTGTCTAGTCTATTGTCTAGTCTATAGTCTAGTCTATAGTCTAGTCTATAGTCTAGTCTATAGTCTAGTCTATAGTCTAGTCTATAGTCTAGTCTATAGTCTAGTCTATATTCTGGACTATAGTCTAGTCTATATTCTGGACTATAGTCTAGTCTATAGTCTGGACTATAGTCTAGTCTATAGTCTGGACTATAGTCTAGTCTATAGTCTGGACTATAGTCTAGTCTATAGTCTGGACTATAGTCTAGTCTATAGTCTGGACTATAGTCTAGTCTATAGTCTGGACTATAGTCTAGTCTATAGTCTGGACTATAGTCTAGCCTATATTCTGGTCTATAGTCTAGTCTATAGTACTGACTATAGTCTGGACTATAGTCTAGTCTATAGTCTGGACTTATAGTCTGAATATTTTTCTAATTTATATTTAGTACTATACTCTAGCCTCAAGTTTGTAGTATTCCTTCGTATTTGCATTAACTTATGAACTTTATCTTAACTCTAACCCCTCAAAAATTGTTGTCCTAAACCTCTTACCAAATACTTCTACAGCAAAAAAAAAAAACTAATAAAATACCTTGCTTACTCTTCAAAACTAAACCGGAAAACAAATCATCCTTTAATTTTTCCTGGAATTATCCTGTATGATAATTTTATTCTTTTGTCTTGTGACCTTTGTATTTGGCGTATTTGTAGATAATTTTTTAAGATTCTCTTGAGGTATAACCGCCAACATTTGTTTTTTATCTTTAGCACGCTTACCGCTACCACCACCACCACCGGCAGCAGCAGCCATCAATTGTGTAGAAGTGGAAGAGGTAGAGGGTGGAGCGGAGGTATCATCTGTATGATGATTATGATGACTGGCGGCATAACGTGTTAAAACTTGAAATTTAGCAAAAAGTTTATTTTTAGTTTCACGTTCTTTGTCTTTAAATTTATCCAAAGGTTTGTATTTGGTCAAGGAGGTTGGATCGGTTAAAGGACACATTTCCATATCGTTAAGTTTATTGGAGGAGGGTTTAAGCATTTTACCGCCGCCGCCGCCGCCATGCATGGTGGTAGGAGATGACCATTCATATTCGGAATCGGTAAAGCAAGTGGTAGCTGAATTGTTGGTGGCCTGTAAAGCCAATTGGTGGGGCGTGGGTTTGTAGTAGCGTGCAGCATTAGGATTAAGGGATTGTTCTGTAAAGGAAGCAGAACTATTAGAGGTTTCATCGGCTAAATGTCTAAGCATTAAGGTCAATTTCATTTCATGCTGCCGTTGTAAAAGTACAGCATTGCGTTCTCCTTCTAAACGAGCCTGGCGTACGGCATTGGATAACACCCTCTCTTTCCATTCCCAGGCATCTTTCTCTCTTTCCAATTGCATTAATTGTATTTCCAATTTACGCGAGGAGTCTCTCAAATCTATAACCTTGTTAAAATATTTATAAAGTAAAGTGCGCATTTCCTCAGTGGACAATTTATTAAGGCGGGCCATAAGCATTTGCTCGCCTTTTTCTCTTTGTAGACGTTCACTGGTGTCAATGGATTTGTGGCCACAAATTAATTCATTTTTAAATTCTATGGCGGCATCAATGGCCTCTATAGCTTCATCACATTCCAATAGTTTACGCTCTTCTTTATGGCTCAACATTTTGTCTCGCTTTAATTTGCGATCCAAGGAGCATCTTTGCTCTAGTAGATGATCTCTAGTTCTTCTGAGATTACGTATTTCATGCCGCAAACCCTCTCGCTGCTCATCATCACGATAGAGATCTAGATTATCGGATTTTTCTTTTAAAACATGATCCAAATGTGAGATACGGGCCTGCACCTCTTTTAAATGTTTACCCTTTTCCTCAGCCAAAGGTGGGTGTTCGATTTTAACCAAGGCCTTGGAATTCTCTTTTTCCTTTAAAGATTTCATTTCGTTCTCTAAGGCCTCTTTAAGTTTACGTTCCTTTTTGATTTTCTTTTGCAAATCATCTATGACCTTTTTGGATTCATGCAGAGATTGCTGCAATTTCTTAACCTTTTGGCCACTTTCTCCTGCTATATGCTTAATAGAGGTCAAATCATTGAGTCTTTGTTCCAGGTGTGTGATGATGGCTTTAAGACGTTCTATTTCCTGTTTGTCTTTATGCTGCAGCATGGCTTTGGCCAATGACTTTTTGGTCTTTTCATATTCTGCCTCCAATTTGGCTCTTTTCTTGTGGAATCTTTGTTTGGCCGTAGTGCGCGTGTCACTGTTCTTAATTAGTTCTGTTATGATATTCTGTTTCAATTGCATGGTTTCCTCTACTTCCTTGATTTGTCTTAAGCGTGCTTCTATATCTGTATCCAATTTACGCAACTTCTTTTGTATCATATCCAAGGGAGAGTTGTTATTTTGTCTTAAGTTATTGGCCATATCTGTGGAGGAGTCCAGGAAGTCATCATTTGTTGTTTGCAATTGCTGCTGCAACTGTTGTTGATTCTGCTGTTGTTGCTTTACACCTGCCACTCTATTTAACATGGCTATTTCTGCACTTGATAGAGTAGCTCCCGGTTGTATGGATCTTCTCCTACCTCCCGTACCCACCGATTGTCTTCTTTCCTCCAACTCTTTCTCCTCTTCCCTGTGATCTTTTTTCTTTTGTTGAAAACTTTCTTGAGATTCCATTACTGCCTTGGGATGATTTTCCATAAATTCTTGATATTTAGTTTTCACCAGATTATCCGTTTTCATGCTTAAATCTTCCATAAGTAATTCGATTTTTTCCTCCAAATCAGGGCGTTGAGATTCTGAATCCGATTCATTGTCGGAATTTTGTTGGCATGAAGTTTCTGGTTCACTGTTGGTTTCTTCGGGCTCTTCGGCTTCTTGTATGGGTCCCAATTGTTTTTGACTGCGTATAACCTCATTGGAACTGAGGCACTCTTCGCATTCTTGTTTGAGAAACAGCCATTCCTCGATTTGTTCTTTTTCGGCCTCGTTTATAGCATTGGATGAAATGAGTCTGGGAAATGAAGTGAATTTTTTAATAAAAACAAAATATTTTACTTAATTCTATTCTAATATTTAGTTCTAGTCAGTTCAAGTTCAGTTCTAGGTCTAGTTCTGTTACAGTTCAGTTCTAGTGCAATTCTAGAAAATAGTTAAAAATACGTTTTTACTTACTTCGAAAACAAACCCTCTGCATTGGAGACCAATTTAAACCACTGGCTAGCAGCAAACTGTAAACCAAAATGTGAATCAGGCACTGGAGGTGTTAGACCAGCTGCTGTAACACCTCCTCCACCCAATTCCGGTAAAATACCCTCAGGCGACAAAGGAGTATTATCATCAGAGAATGTATTCATTACCACATAATTCCGCACACATTGCACTTTAAAGGCAAACTGTAGATTGCACAGAGTCTCATTAATATCTCGCTCGAAAGGAGAAACACACAATATGACCAGAGTTTGAGCACGACCGCCAAAAGAATCTTTCAACAGAGTGGTAAGAGTTGTTTGATTGTAGGGAATATTACCATTGGCATTATACATGAGAGCAGGATCAGTTAAAGTATTAACCACATGCTCCAGAGATTGTAAACCCAAATCCTTAGGTAAACTAGACGGCTGATCCAGAGAATTTAACATAAACAAACGTTCTGTGGCACATAGATCACTAAAGGAGGCGGTCGAAAGACGATGTTGTATTAGACCCTCTTTGGAAACCCATTGCTGTTCCAGAGTTAAAGTAAATAGTGTATGGGCCATTTCCATTTTCGAATTAGCCAACGATTGCAACCCAACTTGCAGCCAATGAAAAACATCGGCAAAATTCATGCAGTGGACATTGCCTACCCCCAACAAATCACGTATAACCTCACCACAAATCTCTACCCAGCCTATGTTGACAGCATAGGTACGTTCCGGATGATTGGTCATATGTGTGAAAATCTCTCTCACACAACGTTGCACTATACCCTGATCAGCTTCACTATAGGAGCAATCAAACCCATAACCATATAATGTATACGTCTTGCCGCAACCCTTCTGACCATAAGAAACCACTGAGGCATCAAAGCCTTCCATAAATAGACTAATCAAAGGAAATACTGTTTGGTGATATACTTGATTTTGAGCACAATTCAGAGGTAGAGCATGTGTTACGGGAAATGAATGCGGACCCACTTGTATAAGACCAGCCGCTATACCAACACCATTATCCAATGCTCCCATTACACCAGACATGCCATTATTAGCCATATAACCTGGTTGTGTGGCAGCCAAGGGTATAGTTTGTATACAGCATTTGGTATTTTTTTCATCTTCTTCCTCTTCATCATTGTCACAGCATTTAACATTACCATTATCATCCTGTTGTTGTCCTACAATGTCCTTTTCCAATTTTGTTGCTACTTCTTGTTGTTGTTGTTTTTGCAAACCCTTGGGGCAAATACGCACAGCAACTTGTATTGGTATTTCCATTTTCTTTTCTATGCTGCTTTTCACTTAATTAGACCTCAATGTTTAGTTTGTATGGTTATATTGTTATATATTGTTTAATGTAAAGACATTTTATTTATTTTTTGCTGTATTTAATTTGGTTTATTTATGTTTAATTGATTTGCTAAATTTTCTTCTGCTTACTCTCGCGAAAACAATAATTTTTTAGGTGTATTGATCAGTGATGATTTTTTAGGTATTTTTATACTACTAATGTTAGAAAAGTAAGTATATTTAAAATTGAAATTTTTAGAAACAGGAGGGTCTGGCGGAATGGAGTATTATATGTAGATAAAATTGTTTCAGAATATATTGATAGAAGTAAGTAAGTAAGTAAGTCAAGTAAGTAAGTAGTAAGTAAGTAAGTACGTAAGTAATTTTTAGTAGTAAGTAAGGAAGTAAGTAAGTACGTCGTACTAGTCGTAGTAAGTAGTCATTCATTAGTCGTAAGTAAGTAAGTAGTCAGTCGTCCGTCCCATCCGTCCGTCCCGTCACGTCCGTCCGTCCGTCCGTCCATCGTCCGTCCGTCCGTCCGTCCGTCAGTCCGTCCTCCGTCCGTCCGTCCGTCAGTACGTTCCGTCGCCGTCGTCTTCCTCGTCCGTCCGTCCGTCATCCTCCGTAGTTCCGTCGTCGTCCGTCCGTCCGTCCGTCCGTCCGTCCGTCCGTCAGTCCTCCGTCCGTCCGTCCTCCGTCCGTCCGTCCGGCCGTCCGTCCGTTCTTCGTCCGTACGTAAGTCAGTAAGTCAGTCAGTAAGTACCTTTTGAATAATTTTCGTACAAAACATCGACCTTTCGACAAAACATCGACTTTACGAGATATGTTCTAATTTGAATAAGCCAACAAAAAGACTTATTAATGGTACAGAAATTTACATGATGAATATGTCTTAATATTATTTTTTAATATTTCTTGATATCATATTTTCACCACTGTTGGTGGCGATTTATACGAGTTTATTTGTTGTATCGTAAACGTTTTAAAAATTAAAACTTTATTAATTTTTTTATTTTTTTTTTTTTTTTTTTAATTTAAAAATTGATTTCGGGATTTTTATTATTTTTTCAAATAAGTTAAAGAGTTTCTTATCGCGCTTTCAACCCCAATTTTTAAATAAATTCACTGTAATGTATTGATAATTTTCATACTTAAAAAGTTATTTATCTGTTTTTGTGTTCTTATCTCACAGTGCTTTGCTCTATGTAACAAAAATGGTACTTCAAGAAACAACTCTGTCATACGACACTTATAAATACTACCAATTTTAGCAACTGTGCTGTTAGAACCATTATTTTTCTTCTTTATTTCACAAGCGCCTGAAAAAATCGCGTGCCAATTAACGCGTGTTTTTTAATAAATTTCTCCATTTAAATTGAAGATAAATACGGAAAATTTTCATAAAACACAGAAATTTATTAAATTTTTAAGAAAACAGAGCTAAAAAGACACATTAAACATGTCAAAAAGACGCATTGAAGTTGGAGAAACCTACACAAACAAGGTGAAAAAGTAAGTATCTGAAACAACGAATGAACGAAAAGAAACGAATATATTATATTATAAACATGGCGACTAATGGAATTTTTCTTTTGGGTATTTTTTAGAGAAGAAACAGCTACCTCTTCGTCGGGAGCAGCAGCTTGTTTAGCGGCTAGTGGCACACCAGGCAGTTTAGTGGGTTCTCTGGCGAAGCCACCCGGCACCATGAATCCCTTTAATTTGAAGCCCTATTCGGCACGTTTTCAACAATTGTACAAGAAACGTATAACATTGCCGGTATTCGAATATCAAACAGATTTCATGCGCCTGTTAAATAATCATCAGTGTATAGTGTTGGTGGGTGAGACAGGTTCTGGTAAGACTACACAAATACCCCAGTGGTGTGTGGAATATGCTGTGTCCAAGGGTAAGAAGGGGGTATCCTGTACCCAACCTCGTCGTGTGGCTGCTATGTCCGTGGCCCAACGTGTTTCCGAGGAAATGGATGTTAATTTGGGTGAAGAAGTAGGTTACTCCATACGTTTTGAGGATTGCTCCTCACCCAAGACTTTGCTGAAATACATGACAGACGGTATGTTGTTGCGTGAGGCCATGTCGGATCCCATGTTGGAACAATATCAGGTGATCTTATTGGATGAGGCTCACGAAAGGACTTTGGCTACTGATATCTTAATGGGTGTTTTAAAGGAGGTTATTAGACAAAGAAATGACTTAAAACTAGTGGTGATGTCTGCCACTTTAGATGCTGGTAAATTCCAGCAGTATTTCGACAATGCTCCCCTCATGAATGTACCCGGTAGAACCCATCCAGTAGAGATTTTCTATACCCCTGAACCGGAACGTGATTATCTAGAAGCGGCCATACGTACTGTTATACAGATACACATGTGTGAAGATATAGAGGGTGATATCCTAATGTTCCTCACTGGACAAGAGGAAATCGAAGAGGCTTGTAAACGTATTAAACGTGAAATAGATAATTTGGGTTCTGAGATAGGGGAACTCAAGTGTATACCTTTGTATTCCACCTTGCCACCTGCTTTGCAGCAGCGTATTTTCGAACCAGCACCACCACGCAGTGCCAATGGTGCCATAGGCCGTAAAGTGGTAGTTTCCACAAATATTGCTGAAACTTCTTTGACCATTGATGGTGTAGTCTTTGTCATAGATCCCGGTTTTGCCAAACAAAAGGTCTACAATCCTCGTATACGTGTGGAGAGTTTATTAGTTTCACCTATTTCAAAGGCTTCGGCTCAACAGAGAGCTGGTCGTGCCGGTCGTACTCGCCCCGGAAAATGTTTCCGTTTGTATACCGAAAAGGCCTATAAGAACGAAATGCAAGATAATACATATCCTGAGATTTTGAGATCTAATTTGGGTAAGTTGTACTTTTTATATTCAATTACTTATTAACTTACTCAGGACCGGTTTTATAACTAACACTAAGGAAGGCTATTTAAACTTAAGTACAATTTCTTCCTTTAGGAAGCACTGTAAATAAATGTCGGAAAAGTAAAAAAAAAAATCGGACACATATGACATATTCCATTTGTAATCTCTATAATGTAATTTCCAGAACCTATAAAGTGTACATATTCTGATTCCTTATAGATAGCGGAGTTGATTAAGCTATGTCCGTCTGTCTGTCTGTACGTATGTTTGTTGAAATCAATTTTCTGATAAAATATGTTTTCGAAAAGTTTTATGTTTAAAATCAGCAAAATCGGTTCATAAATAACGGAGATATGAGCAAAAAACCGAGACAACCTCTGAAAATATCATTAACAAATTATGCTTAGACAAAAATAATAGTTTATTATTAATAAACAACAACTCACATTATCATACGGTAAATTTTGTTCTTGTACACGATTGTTTATAAAAACAAAACAGAGCATGAACAGATTACAAATCAAGCTGTGTGTTGTTATTAGCTAGAAACATGAAATAAATCATGTATAGCCCGGAGTAAATGAGAACCTATAAAAGGGTACTTTTTCGTTTTTCAAAAGGTACGGGAATATAGAGCCCGGAGCAAATGAGATCCTATAAAATGGCTCTTTTTGGTACTTTTTCGTTCTCCAAAAGGTACATTTGAAGTTTCTATATAATTGAATCTAAGAAGAAGAAAATAATTATCAACAGCCCGGAGAAAGTGAGAACCTATAAAAGGGACTTTTTGTACTTTTCGTTCTTCAAATGGTGGAGCACGGACTAAATGAGAACCTATAAAATGGGACTTTTTGGTACTTTTACGTTCTCCAAAAGCTAATTTTTGAATTTTCTATTACATTAAAACTAGAAACATAAATTTATAGCCGCACCGAATATGAAATCGGCTTTTTCCGATTTTATGAGCTTTCACGCTTACGTACTTCTTACGAACGTACGGACGTACTAGACGGACTGACTTAGGCCGGACGGACTTACGGACGGACGACGGACGGACGGACGGACGTACGACGGACGTACGGACTGACTACGGACACGGCCGGACGGACGGACGGACGGACGACGAAGACGTACGACGACGGACTGACGGACGGACGGCGGACGACGGAGGACGGACCGACGGACTAGACGTACGACTTACTGAAGACGGACGACGACGACTTAACTACTTACTTACTTACTTACTTACTTACTTACTTACTTACTTACTTACTTACTTACTTACTTACTTACTTACTTACTTACTTACTTACCTTACTTACTTACTTACTTACTTACTTACTTACTTACTTACTTACTTACTTACTTACTACTTTACTTACTTACTTACTTACTACTTACTTACTTACTTACTACTTACTTACTTACTTACTTACTACTTACTTACTTACTGACTTACTTTACTTACTTACTTATTACTTACTACTTACTACTTACTTACTTACTACTTACTTACTTACTTACTTACTTACTTACTTACTTACTTACTACTTACTTACTTACTTACTTACTACTTACTTACTACTTACTACTTACTTACTTACTACTTACTTACTTACTTACTTACTTCCTTACTTACATTCATTCTTCCAGGCACTGTTGTTTTACAACTAAAAAAATTAGGCATTGACGATTTGGTACATTTTGATTTCATGGATCCACCTGCACCCGAAACTCTTATGCGTGCCTTGGAACTTTTGAACTATTTGGCTGCTCTCGACGATGATGGTAACCTAACTGATTTGGGTGCAGTAATGTCAGAATTTCCCTTGGATCCACAATTGGCCAAAATGTTAATAGCCAGTTGTCAACATAATTGTTCGAATGAAATTTTATCAATTACTGCTATGCTGTCGGGTGAGATTAACTTTATTTTTATTTTAACTGAATATTTTAAATTTATTAGAAAAAGTAGGGTTAAAATGAAGCGATTTAGGTATAATGAGAAGTTAATTCCATACAAAATGTTATATGAAAGAAATTGAAAAGCTTTTTTAAGGGAAAATATTTATTTATAAGAAATCTATACTTTAGAAAAAATCTCAGGATTTTGTACGTAAATCTGCAAGAAATTAATCAGTTACCTTAAAGGGAAAGCTTAAAATTACAATTTATAGTAGGCCTTTGAATAGGAAACAGTTAAATTGAAACACATCTACATTCTTTGCGTTATAATCATAGCTTTGTTCGAAGTTGCGTATATTGATTGGCTGATAGGTTTAATAATTACTATGGAGAGTAAAAACTTGTATTTTTAAATATTTTTTAGCAAAAATCTGCTCTTTTAAGCTTGAAAGTCTTCTTTTCTCTAATCCTTAGTTTTAGTTAAAATGCAAAAGAAAAATTTCCCTTTATTTTAGAATAAACATTTGTCTTTTGCATTCACCACTGAACCTTCAGTTTCAATAGCGTTTAAATAACAGAAACACAAGTAACATTACAAAAATCCTTAAAAAAAACTATTGTTTCTTAAACTTTTAACTTAATAAAAAATCTTAGTTACTTGTGACTTTTTTCTTAATTTTAAAAAGAAACCGAAAAACGTTCTTGAAACTCTTTGCTGAAAAACAAAACCTTTACAAAACCTCTTCCTTTTATTGAAAATTTAGTTGACTTTAGCAGTGTTTATTCTATTGTTTATCATCACTATTTATAAAGAAATTCTTAAAAAAACAAACACTTAAGTTTTAAACAATGAAAATGCTCTTAAACAAAAATTCAACTTGTGTCAACGGGTAAATGGTAAAATATTGTTGGTTTGCTTTTGAAAAAATAAACTACAAACCAAATACCCCCAAACACAAAATGCTCTTCTTTTGTTTTTATCTCGTAACCATACAAAATAAATCTAAAAAAAAAAACAATTGTGATGATGATGACAACCCCACCAACACCACAGTACCACAATGTTTTGTAAGACCCAATGAGGCCAAAAAAGCAGCAGATGAGGCTAAAATGAGATTTGCCCATATTGATGGTGATCATTTGACTTTACTCAATGTCTATCATGCCTTTAAGCAGAGTAAGTAATTGTTTATTTTCCAAGCAAAAGAAAAAGTTATATTTCCTTCCTTCTCTTCCGCACCATCAGGCAGTGAAGATCCCAATTGGTGTTATGAAAATTTCATTAATTTCCGTTCTTTAAAATCGGCCGATAATGTGCGTCAACAATTGGCACGCATTATGGATCGTTTTAATTTGAAACGCAGCAGCACAGAATTCACTTCCAAGGATTATTATGTCAATATACGCAAAGCCTTAGTACAAGGTTTCTTCATGCAGGTGGCACATTTAGAGCGCACTGGTCACTATCTTACCATTAAGGATAATCAAATAGTACAACTGCATCCTTCCACATGTCTGGATCATAAACCCGATTGGGTTATCTACAATGAATTTGTACTCACTACTAAAAATTATATACGTACCGTTACAGATGTTAAGCGTAAGTAAATTGAACATCATTTTAAACTTAAATTTAATATATTTAATAATATCCCTCAGCTGAATGGCTTTTAACTTTGGCTCCTCAATACTATGATATGAATAATTTCCCTCAATGTGAGGCCAAACGTCAATTGGAAATGTTGCAGCAACGACTGGAATCTAAACAATATCAAACCGGCTTTTAAACGCACTTTTATTTTGCAGTTTTTTTTTAAATACTTTTATTAAATAATATTTCTTTTTTATTATTAAATATTATTACTTTTATACGTTTTACGTACATATATAGTTTTTATTTTTATTATATAAGTTTTTTTGAATGGAATAATTATAATAAAACAATAATATATAGAAAAAAATGTCTAATGCCTTTAGACATTTTAAACCTGCTATTATAAAACTTTCCATTACACTGAAAAAAAAGGAAAATAACCAACCGAACTAATTAAAAGTTAATATATAGTTATACATGTGTATTTAAAAAATAATAATTAAAAAACAAACTCTTAAGAATTTTAAAAACGAGTGTGTGTGTAAAGTGTTTTAAAAAAGTGTGTCAACAATTAAGAATAAATAGTAGTAAAACTACTTGTTTATTTTTACAAACGCAATTTCTTCTTGTTCTTAATAAAGTGGCAGTAAAAAGAAAAACAAACCATCAAAATCTTTAAAAGACTTTGAGGGAGATCTTCGCTTTTTATGCTTTTGGAGAATCACAAAGTGATATTTCACTGTGACCTGGGTATTACAACAAAGTAAAGAATATCGGCCTTCATTATTAGAAGAAGGTATTAATGGGATTGGATATGACGATATCTGTTGATACCAGACTTCTTAAAGGCTGCAGCTCTTTCTTTGTAATTACATAACGCACTGTGGTTTTATCTTTAACAAAGTTAAGGTCATACATACCATCCACAACATAAATAATGAAAATCGATATGTGGAATCTGAGGAGGAATCGCAGTCTGTACAGTTTATCGTTACTCGAATAAGATCAAAAGTACTATTCGCCTCAAATGTCCAATTAGTGCTTGAGGTAACCTACCTAAAATTTCAACAATCTTTGGATACCTTCCAACGTTCACGTATCCCACAGTTTTATGAAATTGTCTTAATTGGATTATTGCCTTCGATAAACATAATTAAACCATTCCTCTAATATCCTCGTAACAAGACCAAGCTGGAATCGGTAACCCGAAAAATGGACGATTAATTTTTATTATTTCCCGCTAATCTATGCTGACTCAAAGAAACCGTAGAATTTATTAAAAATACAGTTCAAAGAGCAGACTCGCAAAACAGGATCCATTTCAAGCTTCTTAAACTAATTATCGTCCAATAACTTCGATATCGTATTGATAAGTATGAACTATCAAAGGAAATGGAAAGTTAAGCTTGTAGTACGAAGGTATATGAAATAGTGGTTAACATATCTGGATATATTCTAAGTCTCTGAATTCATGGAATCCGTCTTTTGCAACCTAAAAGCTCACTCTAACGTCCAAGCAGAGGGAAAGTTCCATGAAACTGCTACCTCAGCAGCTGTTCGCTTTATACCTGCTGGTTGAATATCCGTAGTGTGACTACAACTCCCAGCAAAAGCGGCTAGACTTGCAGATGAACGGGATGATATTCGAAATACCCCAACCTAAGCGGAACCAGAAAATCAGCAAGTTGGTAAATGAGGATAAGTGGAATGACATGAAGAACATAGTCGATTGTAGTGTTTAGAAACAAACGCTGAATATATTGTAAAGTTATACAAAGTGTACCCCAGGGCGGAGTTCTAGCGCCGCTATTATTGGATTTCTACCTCTCTAAACTTTCTGCGCCTCCACAATAACATGATTTGATTTCTTATGTTTGAGGACCAAAATCTTGGTGAATTATGCTATCTGTGGAATGGTTATCTCAAGGAAATACTTCAGTTGTTCACTGCACAAAAGTTGCAGCTATCACACACGGACGAAATAAGCCTATTTGACATTTGGCTTCGTTGTCGATGCAATAACAAATTGCGATGTAGAAAAATGGTCTTCAAAGTGCTAGACGTCAACACTAGAGGTATGGCTACATATAAAAGGATTGGTCGGTGGTTAATTCTGCTGTTTCTGTGTGTTTACTTTTTCTTAGTGATAACCAGGAAGAAATATTCAAAGGAGCCCTAACAACTGTAAGGCTGCTTGGAAATTACGTCGCAACATCACCTACACTAGGAAGAGATGGCTTCTTTGAAGTCAAGGAACACAACGCCATGTTGACTAAGTATGTACTTAGTTTCTACTGGGATGTTATCGGAGAAGTCTTTCCAACTTTCACAGTTGGTATAACTTGTTCATGGATAACATACACAACTATGAAATGGATAGATATATCCTCATATATGGCAGCTTTAAATGAGAATTATACAGGATCCAACAATTTCGTAGTTGGAAGTCGCTCACCGCCTATTGATTGAAGAAACCCTATATCGAAAATCCTTAAAAGTTCCAACACAACTAAGAACGGGATGGAACAACATGCTTAATGTCTAATGGCCTCGTAGATGGATTTATGGACACTTTTTAGTTGAAGTAGTACAATTTCAAGTTCTGGACATCGATGCAGGACACCTTGCTTGATTGTTGTATAGTTTTAGCCGAATGTAATTAGACAAAGGATATTTCAGGAGAGGAAACATCGATGGATTGATAACGTGAATTAACCTTTAATTGGTCTAAGGCTGATCTAATATAATATATTTTAAAACTTAAATGCCTGACTCCTTATAAACAACATAATTTTTTAATTAACTAAACTTTATTGTTACTTTTTAAACAGAAGCTTTAAAATTGACATTAAGGTTAAAGATTTTAAAAGAAAAGTGAGGTTAGATATTGAATCCTGACAAAAAAAGGCAAATAGTCAAATTTTAACCATTACTTTTTTGAAATTGTATTAAGATCACTAAATAGGTAGCAATAGCTGAAGCCAACTGTAATAGATAAGAAGGGTTTAGATTTATTTCTTTATTAAAGAATATGGTCTGCTTACCGAGGTTAAAAGCTGACGATTAACTTGACATAAACCACAGGCTGAAAAACCACCATCACAGACCAGCAATTGTTGCCAAAACTTTTTAACCTTTAGAAAAAGGAAAATTTAAATCTTTTGAGTTTAATATATTTATGCTCTTACCTCTTCTGCCAGTATAGGATCATGTACTATACGTTCTATTTCACATACTATGTGTATAGTTTTAGTAGATTCTCGTGTTAAACGATGACAAGGTTCCACTACCATTAACAAACGACATGAATGAAATAATATCCATAGAACTTGTAGCCAAACATAACCATTATCCTTTTTACTTAAAAGTTCAATAAATAAAAAATATGAAGTGGCCACCAAGTGTAGAAAACAAGAAATTAGAATGAATAAAACAGCCATGCCATAGGCGCTGAAATGTTAGGAAATAGGTTTGAAAATAATGCTAGTGAAAGCTAAAAGAAATTTCTGAAATTTTTACCTTGCTACTATGTTCACACATTTCACTAAAGTTTCATGACATTCCGCTAAAAGTTTTAATAAAATTGATTTATTTTTACCTGAAAACAAATTTAAATTTAATTATTATTGTTATAAAAATTTCTAATATTTAATTACTAGGACCCTCTTGATAGCTTGCCGAAGCCAACTTTGATAAACTAGCCTGTAAATTGGGCGTGTTTAAAGTTGTCGTCTTAACGGTTGTTATTTTGACCTTTTCCTGATTTTGCAAAGCTTTTTGCCGATCAGCTTTTATATATACAGAAAATATACATTAATAGCTTTAACATAAAGTTCTCTTATAGTTTTATTACCTGGTAAATACGAGCTCCTTAACATGATATTTAAGGCTTCAAAACGTCGAGCCAAACCTAGTGAAGTATTGGCAAAATTCACATGTAAACCCGTTAATATAAAGTATAAACTATAGAACGGTATATACCACTGGACATTTAAATCTGTTGTGATAGATTTATAGATAATTACTTTCTTTAAAGATTTCAATTATGTACTTGTATAACCAGCAAAATGTTTTTCATTTAAAATCGTTTTCTTAAATCCTTAAAATCGGCCCATCAAAGGTACTCAGCAAATTGCTTGTTTTCGATTCTTTTAAATACATTTTGCTGGTATATTTAATACTTTACCAGCGTTTTCTACGCCTGTATCCATATTTTCAGCAAATCTTAACCAGGTCCATACATCCAAAGCTAAAATAAATAAATTAAAATGTCTTTAGAATCTGAAGAAAAATTCTTTTTAGAGGTAGAGAGGTTAAAAATAAGCCCTATGTTCAAGCTTCTCCAGATAGTTATATACCAGAAATTATAGTCAAATATTTTGGGGCGGAATTAGCTCATACGTGATCGAATAAACTATCGAAAACTCAAGTCAATTTCGAAAATAGGTTAGGTTAAGAAGGTGCAACCAAACTCGGAGGCCATAACATTGAAGATTGAAGATCCAATAAATTGAAAAACAAAAAGAACATAAAGAGAAGAAAGATGACAGCAAACAGGTCAAATTCCATAGGGTTTCAACATAGATAAAGATGAATGTGTAAGAGAATGTGTTTCTCTCTATAAAACCCAGTCGAAGAAATGACTGATTCCCCTGATAAAGCCTAGTAGATTGCAGGGGCTGAATGCCGCAATTTCCCCCATTCTATCATGGAACCTATTTCTCAGCAATTTCAGAATCTGTACTCTATGGAAATTATGATCTGGAATTGGTTTGATCTCTCAAAGAGAAAGACCTCTTCAACCCGAAGAAGAAGTAAGTCAGTTTTGAGATTTAGTTGGTTGATATCACTATATCCGACCCTGAACGGTGCTGGTTAGTTAATGGTTGGGTCATTTAAAGAACTCCAAATTAAGCTCAGGATTTCGTAAGTCGTGATCTACAATTCGGACTTTTTAAATTATGTACTCCATCGGCTCTAGTTGATTTGCATCTTTGCATTTACGACCAAAAACTCTAACAGAGCAATGCCCCATTAACATCCCTGCCAGAATTCATATCCAGTCGTATAAGTATAAGTATCTTGGTTGCCCCTATGTTAAGTGTTGCCCATAAGGCCTTTGATATTTTGCAATCCATTTTACTATTCCAGGACTGGTTGATGATGTCACAGAGTCTCTCAAACATCAACCTATATTAGTGATATGTAGGTGATTTTAAACTAATATGTACAATACCACATACCATCTTCTTATGATCAGTGTAACTCGACCACGTATGCGTTAATTCTGCCCTATACCTTTTAAAAACTCTTTAGACTTCCTTAATCACTTACCCAATAATATACTTATAGTGATCATGGGTATTAACAGCATCATAAACGATTTAAAACGTTCCATTTTTAGATTTGTTATCGAGCCTAAAGATTCGTCCACCTAAAAAGGGGAAAAAGTCATACCTTCCTTTAAAACAAACTGAAATTCCTAGTCTCTCGAAGTCAGTAGATTTTCCAACTGTTTACCATACAAAATTTTTCCAATTCACTTCATTCTAAACTTTCGAGAAACTTGAAATAATTGTTAATATTTCCCTTTCCAAACCCACCTTTTTTAATCTTACATTCAAATCTCTGGTAGCATTCAAGCCAACTATTCCACATATAACACCAGCCACTATTGCCATTACCACTACCGATACATCCAAAGCGGTTACCACTTTTGAAGTGGCCGATTTCATTCTAAAAGATGCTCTATATATGTGAAATTTAAGGCAATTCCAAATAAAATTTATATGATTTATGCGTAAAAGTATTTTATAAAGCCAGAGAACAGAGAGATTTTGGATAACAGTTTAAAGATAAATTTATTAAATGAAGAGTTATAGAGGAAAAGAGAAAATGAGAAATTAGAGTAAAAAGAGTTAAAACAGATAGTTTAAAAGATATTTAAGTAGTAGTTATATTGAAATTTTATTTAAACTTTAGATTGTTCCGCTTTTTAAGAATAAAGCGAAAATCGCTAAGTTCTGTAAATAGATTTTAGTATTAGAATAGTTTTTAGTGAAACTGCAAAGTTTAAGTAAAAAAATATTTTGAAATACACACAAACATATTCAAGGAAAATAATGTTAAAACGTTACCTTACTGGTATTTTAGAATTAGCATCGAATAATAGTCCACGATATGTAAGAAATACTGAAATATATAAAAATAAGATAATTTTTGTAAAAATTGGTATTTAAATTTTATGTTTTTAAGAAAATAGCAGATATTTTAAAACAATTACAAAAGCAGTAAATCGTTACAAATCCAAAATCAGTTGTAACAGATACAACGTTCTCGGAAAACATCGCTATTCGATCTCATAATCGTGAAGCGACCAAAAGATTTTGTTGCCTCTGAAAGGCGGAAATTACATCAGTGAAAAGAAAGTCGCTGAAAACGGCATCAGAATTCACTGATCGCGTCTTTAACGCCAACGTGCACTAAACAAAAAGGGAACTCCACGAGGACATCGATATATCCGACCCTGAATGTTGCAGGTTGGTAGAACTGCAACATAAGCTCAGGGTTCGGAAGTCATGATCTACAGTTGGGTCTCTTCGACGAAGAATTTTTTGAGCTGAATTACCACGTATCGCTACATTCCAGAATTTCGATATAAAGTCGGGAATTATCAAGTTAACCCAGGGAAAAATAAAGAAGAATAAGAATGATAAGAACCTGAATAGTGCTGGTGGACAAATAAGTAAATGGTTAAATAATGTAATGAACTGCACCTTAAGCTCAGAAGTTGGAAAGTCATGATCTAGAGTTTGTCGAGTTTACAACTCGATGAAGCATGAAGATCGGCATGAGTGATTAAGTTTGCAGGGATCGCTTTATACGACCATTGTGTTCAGCCGGCTTTATATGGAACACATAGGAGAGAAATATTTGACAATATCTCAGGCCTTCAATAAAGGAATTGTGAAAGCAAGACACTGTCCACTATTCTTTCACCCGGTGGCATGTTACCTTGATGAATCTTCCTCCATCTTGGTGTTATTGCAATATCGGGGAAAAGAGGTGCCACCAGTACCTCTAGTCTGCCGGGACTTTAAACTGGTGATGATCAAATGTGCCCTTGGTCTTTCCGTGGAATGATTCTGCATGGGTTCGAAGCAATATACCACATAATCTAGAACCACGAAACCGGTAGTCCGCAGGGCAGAGTTTCGGACTTTGATTTGTCCCGGTTATTGGAGAGGTCCCTTCGAGGAACACGTAGTGGCTATGGTTTAAACCCAAATCCGCGGTAAGAGGATGTCGGTTAAAAGACTGAATGCAGGGTCCCGGTTATTGGAGAGATCGGTTAAAAGACTGATGCACTGACGAAGTCCATGATTCGGTATAAGTTCGGTGCTGTTTCCGAAGTCAACAGATACCCTACAGAGGAGTAACTGTGTGACTTAACGTTGGAAATTAATTGGTGTTAAGTGTATAAGATACAGGATGAATGTAGGGGTATACGGAACTTGCCCTCCCGTATACCTAGAATGAGTGTGTCGGATGTTGTTCTCTATAGGTGTGTCGAATGAATGAGAAGTGTGCTGGGTTGAAAGGTGATGGATGAAAGGTATCTTCTACAAGTGATGCCATTGAATTTTCCTTTCTTGTCCAGATATGTTCAGAGTTTACTCTATGCATACCAGATTTACCACAGTGTGTTTACTGTGATCGTCTTTTTTGATGGATTCGTTTTTGGGTCTACCGATAACGTATCTATATGCAATTTCCGTCTCAACAGAGGTATCCCATTTGTGAGGTTGTAAACAAAAGTGATGTTTTATCGAACTTGGAATTCATCCGCCACAAAGAAAAACTAATAGTCAGGATGAGCCTATAACGTACTGGTCCCGAAGAAACATGCAGTTATGTAACAGAGTTATGAGTCCATATGGACTATAAGAAATATCATCGAATGCATTATAAGGGCATAACGCAGTAGGGTACAAACGAAAATCCGCAGAGTTCAGCAGTAACTTTCGTGTGTCCCCTACTGCGTTATGCCCTTACAATGCATTCGATTTTTCTTATAGTCCATATGGCCAGCAAAACTGATAAAAGCTATAGGACCATTTAATTTCCTTTGTAAATAATATATTTAATAGCGTTTTTAAAAAACGTATTCGATCTGTAAGTGACGCATATAAAACGCTTATTTACTAGAAAAGTTCGCATGATATTTTGAAGTGGATTTTATTATTTTTAACAATTAATTATAATTAAATGCTATTAAGTAGAAAATGTTTAGACCAAATGACGTTTTTAAAACGTAAAAACAAAATGGTTCACAATTTTTACGTCTTAATAATTGGGTGAAAACTTTAAGTTTTCAAATATTTTTATTATTTAAAAGAAAATGTTATAATTATATTCCTATTCCTCCTCCTCCCCTTAATTAGGAGTTTAGGATCTGATTTTTATTTTAATATTTTTATCTAATAAATTTACCCATTATTGATGATAAAGCGGCGGCATAAAATATAAACGGTATACTTTTCTGTATGACATAAACACCTTTCGCAGTTTTACGCACCGAATAGGGAGCCAAAGCCAATAATTTACTAACGAAAAATATACTTATTGAAGATTGGGATATTTCCATTTTTTTTATTATTTTTAATAAAATTCCCTTTTTGTTAAATTTTTCTGTACTGTTATGTTAAACTTCACACTTTAAACTACAAATTACAACTGTAATTAAGGGATTTCATAGATGAAATTTAGTTTAACTTTTATTTACACATCGAAGTACGTTTTTATAGTTTATAATTGTTGTAAATAAAATATCCTTGTGCAGATTTTTAAATGGCGTGTGCAAAAAAAGGAAAATGCAGTGGACAAAATGGCAACATATTGTACAATTCTTTTATATTTTTATGCAAATAATAGACATAGTTTTATAAACAGGTTGTTGTGCGGCGAATAAACAACAGGGAGGTCTTATATAGGGGGCCAAGGTTTTAGAAGTATAGACACAAAACTTGAAATGATGTAAAGCTGTTCTATAGAAAATTTTAGGACAGTTTGATATATAGACTGGTATATAGACCGATCTTTAGACTGATCAATAGACTGGTCTATAGACCGATCTATAGACTGGTCCATAGACTGATCTATAGACTGGTCTATAGACTGATCTATAGACTGGTCTATAGACTGATCTATAGGCTGATCTATAGATTGGTCTATAGACTGATATATAGACTGCTATATAGACTGATCAATAAACTGTTCTATAGACTGATCTATAGACTGGTCTATAGACTGATCTATAGACTGGTCTATAGACTGATCTATAGATTGCTCTATAGATTGGTCTATAGACTGATCTATAGATTGCTCTATAGATTGGTCTATAGACTGATCTATAGATTGCTCTATAGATTGGTCTATAGACTGATCTATAGATTGCTCTATAGATTGGTCTATAGACCAGTCTATAGACTGATCTATAGATTGCTCTATAGATTGGTCTATAGACCAGTCTATAGACTAATCTATAGATTGCTCTATAGACTGGTCTGTAGAGTGATCTGTAGACAGTTTATAGAATGGTCTATAGATCGATCTATAGATTGATCTATAGACTGGTCTATAGACTGCTCTATAGACTGATCTATAGACAAATCTATAGACTTTTCTAAATCTATATACTTATCTAAATCTACTGACTGATCTAGAGATTGCTCTGTAGACTGATCTATAGACTGATCTATTGAAATTTAGGAAAAATTGATATATATACTGTATATAGACCGATTTTTAGACTGATCAATAAACTGGTCTATAGACCGATCTATAGACTGGTCTATAGACCGATCTATAGACTGGTCTATAGACTGATCTATAGACTGGTCTATAGACTGATCTATAGACTGGTCTATAGACTGATCTATAGACTGGTCTATAGACTGATCTATAGGCTGATCTATAGGCTGATCTATAGATTGGTCTATAGACTGATCTATAGATTGGTCTATAGACTGATCTATAGATTGCTCTATAGATTGGTCTATAGACCAGTCTATAGACTGATCTATAAACTGATCTATAGACTGATCTATGGACTGATCTATAGACTGGTCTATAGACCGATCTATACACTGATCTATAGGCTGATCTAAAGACTGATCTAGACTAGTATATAAAACTAGTCTTCTCTATAGACTAGTTTATAATAGATCAGACAATAGATTAGTCTGTAGACTGATCTGTAGAATATTATGTAGTCTTATAGGCTAATCTGATCTATAGAGTAGTATATAGTATTGTCTATAGAGTGGTATATAGTCTTATCTCTATTCCAACCAGTTCTATATTGTAAATTCTGATCTATAGACTGATCGATAGCTTATTCTATAGTCTGATCTATTGAATACTGTATAGTCGGATCTATAGATTACTTTATAGTCTGATCAATAGATTCGTTAAGTAAATGGTTTTTTTGAACTTCTAAGGTTGCACATTCTGTACTATTTTATACGAGTGGGAAGATGGCAAATATTTGAGACCTTTTGATATTATCACATCTATTTGAAATTTTAGTCCAATTCATTTTTCTTAAATTTTAAATCAAAAATTCGTTTTTCAGATATTAAAAGTAGTTTATTCTATAAATTTTTAATAAATATTTGTAACCACGTCTCTTTTATATTCCCCTAATTAAATATCTTTATGGTTGTTATCACCTTTTTGTTGTTGGTATTTTTTAATATTGTAAATAATTATTAAATGTAAATTAAATACAAGAGGGTAGCAGTTAAAATGACAAAACACTCAATGTAAACAATTTCTGGACAATTTCACGAAATATTAGATTGTTAGACAAACAAAATGTTTTATTTTTTTAAAAAGTTTATTTGTTTACCATTAAACTAACAGTTATTTAGCGAATTTATGACAAGTTCAAAAAGAGGTTATTTACGTAGACGAATAATAATACGTGAAACGTAATAATTAAGTAAAAAAGTTTAAATAACAAAAATAAATTCTGTAACAAATTTCGAGATTTAGTAAACTTTTATTAAATTTCTTTAATTGCTAAAAGAATCTTTAAACGAGTTTCAGTGTAAAAAATATCATTTTATTTATTTGCGTAAAAAATAACCAGTATTTTCTTTCGGTTTTAATACATTATTCATAATTTCAATACTTAACAAACAGTATTGGCATTGAAAATTTCAATCCAATAACCATCAGGATCCTTAATGAAAGCCAAACCTTTCATACGGCCATCATCGGGTTTCTTAACGAAATCAACGCCCATTTCTTCGAATCTAATTTAAGAATAAAATAAGATTTTTTTAATATTTTAGCGAAATTTTAAAATCAAATTGATAATGTTTCGAAATCAAGATATCGTTTGGAAAAAGTTTTGAAAACATTTTTCAAAAATGAAACATTAACAGTCTTTACCTTTTGCAAGCAGCATAAACATCTGGCACCATAATACCAATATGACCAAAACCACGGGGATCTGAATTGCCATTATGGTAAGATTGATCAGGATCACTTTCAGTGCCCCAATTACTAAAACAAATAAAGATAAATTTTTTAGTGAAATGGAAATGTTTGTGCAAATATTTTAGTGAAAAATCGATTCTGGACTGTATTCTGGGATAGATTCTATACTATAATCTAGTCTAGTTTATAATCTAGTCTAATGTACAGTCTAGTCTATAATCTAGTCTAAAGTCTAGTCTAGCCTGAAGTCTACTCTATAGTCTTGTCTACTGTCTAGTCTATAGTGTAATCTACAGTCTATATTATAATCTATAGTTTCGACTATATTCTAGTTTATTTATATTCTACTCGATTGTCTAGCCGAGACTATTCTATAGTCTAGTATACAGTCTAGTCTTTAATATAGTATAAAGTCTACTTTGTAATATAGTCTATAGTCTAGTCTATAGTCTAATCTATAGTTTAGTCTATATTCTAGTTTATCTATATTCTAGTCTTTTATCTAGTCTGTAGTCTGGCCTATAGCCTAGTATATGGTCGTCTAGTCTATAGTCTAGTCTATAGTCTAGTCTATAGTCTAGTCTATAGTCTAGTCTATAGTCTAGTCTATAGTCTAGTCTATAGTCTAGTCTATAGTCTAGTCTATAGTCTAGTCTATAGTCTAGTCTAGTCTATAGTCTAGTCTAGTCTATAGTCTAGTCTATAGTCTAGTCTAGTCTATAGTCTAGTCTAGTCTATAGTCTAGTCTAGTCTAGTCTAGTCTAGTCTAGTCTAGTCTAGTCTATAGTCTAGTCTAGTCTAGTCTAGTCTATAGTCTAGTCTATAGTCTAGTCTATAGTCTAGTCTATAGTCTAGTCTATAGTCTAGTCTATAGTCTAGTCTATAGTCTAGTCTATAGTCTAGTCTATAGTCTAGTCTATAGTCTAGTCTATAGTCTAGTCTATAGTCTAGTCTATAGTCTAGTCTATAGTCTAGTCTATAGTCTAGTCTATAGTCTAGTCTATAGTCTAGTCTATAGTCTAGTCTATAGTCTAGTCTATAGTCTAGTCTATAGTCTAGTCTATAGTCTAGTCTATAGTCTAGTCTATAGTCTAGTCTATAGTCTAGTCTATAGTCTAGTCTATAGTCTAGTCTATAGTCTAGTCTATAGTCTAGTCTATAGTCTAGTCTATAGTCTAGTCTATAGTCTAGTCTATAGTCTAGTCTATAGTCTAGTCTATAGTCTAGTCTATAGTCTAGTCTATAGTCTAGTCTATAGTCTAGTCTATAGTCTAGTCTATAGTCTAGTCTATAGTCTAGTCTATAGTCTAGTCTATAGTCTAGTCTATAGTCTAGTCTATAGTCTAGTCTATAGTCTAGTCTATAGTCTAGTCTATAGTCTAGTCTATAGTCTAGTCTATAGTCCAGTCTATTATCTAGTCTATAGTCTAGTCTATAGTCTAGTCTATAGTCTAGTCTATAGTCTAGTCTATAGTCTAGTCTATAGTCTAGTCTATAGTCTAGTCTATAGTCTAGTCTATAGTCTAGTCTATAGCCTTGTCTATAGTCTAGTCTATAGTCTGGTCTGTAGTCTAGTCTATAGTCTAGTTTATACTCTAGTCTATAGTCTAGTCTTGTCTATAGTCTAGTCTATAGTCTAGTCTGTAGTCTAGTCTATAGTCTAGTCTATAGTCTAGTCTAGAGTCTAGTCTATAGTCTAGTCTATAGTCTAGTCTAGAGTCTAGTCTATAGTCTAGTCTATAGTCTAGTCTATAGTCTAGTCTAGTCTATAGTCTAGTATATAATATAGTCTATAGTCTAGTCTATAGTCTAGTCTGCACAGTGGGGCAGAATGGAAAATTTTTGGAAATAAATCTGGCATTTCTAAACGGCTGATCCGATCGGGATAAAATTTGGCGTGAGCGTAGCCAAGGAGTATTCGAGTTTAAGTTTTGAAGATGAACCCTGCAGATGACCCAGGGACGGCGCTGTGGCGGCTCAAAGTAGGGTACCTACGACATGTAAAATTTTTAAACTCGTGCCATTTTTTTGTTTTTCACCCAAATACAAAGATTTTTATATTTTGTGAAGCGACGACGAGATCTTGAAAAAACATGCTTGGACATACTACTTATCTCTTATAATATCCGAGTTATAGGCATTTAAAAATTTAGT